AAAAATTTTCAAAAAGAAAACATATATGTATATGTTTCGCCTGAATGTATATAGAGTATTTTAAACTTTTTGATACTCTGTTTGTGGGCAGATAGACTAGTTGAGTCGAAAAGTCCTCTATCATTTTCGTAATAGTTAAGATATGAGATGTTAATTTCTAAAGATTGTCGAATAAACAGATAAAATCGATGCATAAGACAACTTCAAGATTTAGAATTTAGAACTCTTTATGAAATATTTTAAAGTTTTCTTAAAGGTTTCTTAAAGAACTCTTAAAGATATTTTAAAGATTTCTTAAAGGTTTCTTAAAGATATTTTAATTTTTATTTATTTATTATTCTCTCACGAATTTACATCTTGCAGAATTTATTATATTCATATTTTGATGTAATAATGTAATGGCATATCGTTAATCTGAGTTCAAAATAAAAATTCTAAACTCGGAGTTTGAATATTCAGCGAAATACTATAGAGACGATAAAGATAAAATGCAATAATTTAACTTAAAATGTTAAATATTAAAAGGCTTTGATTCAAATCTAAATAAAATCAATCAAGACCAAAGGAGTTCAATCAAACGCAAGTTGTTTATGAAGTGGAAATACATTTAATCATAATAAAATTTAAAGAATAATAGAGAGGATGTTTTCAAGATTTTATACTGGACAATAGTTTAACGATGTTCTCTCTATTGATAACAGTTTTGATTTCATAATTAATTATTGGAGTACACGATTAACTCTGGAATGGCACACTTATTTTCAGCACCTTTAAACGGCATATATATGTCCGATTTTAAGACTTAAAATGCTTGAAAAATTCTATAAAAATTCACACATGTTCTTTAAGGTGTTTACTAAATTACTGCTATATAGACATTGAAAAAAAAATTTAGAAAAATTATGAAAATTATTTTCTGCACCAGAAAATAAGAACTATTAGAAATGACATGGACACAAATGATTCATGTGACGTTCGAGGCAACGATTAATTGTATTTTACATTGAAGAGGATTCAATCCTTAGAATCGAAACATCTGTATCTTAAGATTTAATATATGTGTACCTTGACACCCGAACATTTTGTGGTTCACATTCACTGGCGAATTCAAGAGAGAAGCCATGAGGACCATGGCCCTTCCTTGAGTGCATTCCAAAACTCGACTCTATAACTCAACTACGAGTATTTTTTATTCTTGTTCAACATTCGGTGAACAATAAAAAGATAAAATGATACTTGGGAACACTTGACAGAGTCGAATTTTGGAACGCACCCCTTGGAATCTTCTTTTTTTTTAAATGTTTTGTAGTAAAATATTATATATATTTTTAATATTTTTAATATTTTTAAAATGCATAATCATAATTTTGATATTCCAAAAATATTTTATTAATTTAAGAAACTTATAGATTCTTACGGCTTATTGTTCTATTATAGATATTGTGTTATGCAGCCAATGCAATGTTATGCGAAAGTCTAATAAGTCTAGTACTAATTGCAAGACACTACTTAAAATATTATTGTGTCTGCCGAATAAAGTGCCGTTTCTGTTGAACAAAGTTTTTCAACCCTTTGGCATTTAAAAATCTGATTAAGAGATCGTATGAATAAAGAGGGACTTTTGGAATTTACGTTGTTACATGTATATAGAGATTATTAAAGAAACAGTATTGAATGGGTTTGCCAGAAATAAAAAGTGTAAATTTATTGTAAGATGTTATGCCGATATGGTATTCTCTTTTGCTGATATAATTTTAAATAAAATGCTTTCTGAATTAAATATTTACATAATACTTTTTCAATGTAATGCTGATAATAATTTAAATAGTATATCTTTTCGTATTTGATTTTAAAAAATTTTGCTTGTTTCGCGCAAATTTAGTATAATAAGAATGATGCAAAACAATTAAATTTTCTCTTTTTTTATTATTCGTTCGTAACAGTTACAAATGTTTAAATTCGTCAATGCTCGCTTTATTTTATTTCAATTGATTCATTCTTTGATGCCTTTCCTCAATATATGATTAATTTAAAGATATCTTAAAATTGTTTTATGCATCGATTTTAAACATTCTGCTTATTGAGTAACTAAAAAGAAAACAAAGAATTCCGAAAATTGTAAAATGATACAGGACTTTTTAACTCAGTTTAGGGTCTATTCACGAACAATAGGCTGCTTCCCATTTGATGACACAAGTGTCGTTCTATTCTTGTTGACATACAGTGAGTGACAAAAGTTAGAACAACACTTAATTGTGTCGACTTGTCATCAAATGGAAAACATTCAATGTATCAAAAAGAGACATTGTGTATACATTGATCCTAGCTTTTTTAAAAGTCATTTGAAAGTCAATAATTTTTTTCTACCTGTTTTCTGCCTTTTTTACGCTCTTAAGACAATGGATGCCTTTCAATAGGAAACACACATATTATATTATTACATCCTTATTGTTCGTCAAAAATAAGATGATCATTGTGTTGTACTGAGTCGCTTGTTAGAAAGCATTCATCAATATCCACATGTACGTTCGAAAATCCAGAATGTTTTTATATAGCCATAAAAAAAGATTTATGGAGGGTCATTTCATTATGAGGGTCAACTATTGTGTATTTATTTTTTGTCACATATTATTATTTGGGTTTCTTTTCTTTTAAAATAATTAATTTCATTTACATATGGTTGACCACTGATTTTCCT